TATACAAAAGGAAAGCAAAAAGATATGGCATGCGATGTTGATGTTTGTCGAAAAGCTAGGCCATTTTGGTTGTCATTTGAGGCACATTCTGTGGTGCCGGCGCTATACTCATATATCAGGTCTAGTGGTGCGGCAGGTCCCAGCAACGGAAAGAAGTGTGCGATTCGACTTGAGAAAACAAAGGAGGGGAATCTGAGAAGGGGTTACCTGAGCTATGGTCTGCCGGCTAGCGCTGAGGTAAGGACCAACTTCTCGCCGCAGGATCAAGCCTTAAGAGAACTAGTTCATCTGCACTCCAAGCCTTGGAACCATAATTATCATGCCATAAAATTCGGTTTCCCGAACCCCCAACCCTCCCAAATGTTTACTTACCCCAGCCCGCCTCTGTATGATACCATGCCATTCTGCAATATACCTTTCAGGTTAATGGGAGAAGAGCCCCGCCATGTTCTCAGCCCTCGAAATCGAGCTCAGGACTCAGAGACTCAAAAAAATAACAGATCCAAAGATTCTTCTATTTATTGGCGATAATAGCCGGTTCCCCTCCTATTCCGCATTGCTCATGGTCGGGGAAAGCAAGTGTGACTCCCCAAAAAGGCACGCTTATATAATACAGATTATCAACTTCATATCATTCCGTACAGTTAATGTAATTAATTCCCAGTTACAAAATATTACAAATAAAATTCTGAAGTTGAAAATATATGAAGACAACTAAATGGGAAGGGATAATACAGAAAAAAGTAGATGGAAGTACAATCATAAAAGAAGTTATTGGGAAGATTTAGGAAATAAATCGGGTTGTAATTGTTCACAAATGATATATTATATGGTTCTATTAGAGAAATGATAATGTTTCTAGCCCTGGTTAGAAACAATATAACCTACTAGTATGTACAGATCATAATAAGTGGTTGGTAACCCGTGCTTTCCAAGTCTATCCTACAAGAAGAAAAAAGAAACTGAGCGTCACACTTGCTTTCCCGTCACGTTTTCCCCGACCACGAGCAATGCGAACAGGCTATTACTACCTGGCCATTCCAATAGTGATCGGAAATCCTGGTGCTTTCAGGGCCGAAGGCATGCTAAGTTTTCCGGATACTTTTAGAATAGCTAAATATATTGCAAGGCACCGGGCCGGGAAAGCCCAGAGGCATGGCCCCGCCGAAGAATTATCAAAATTAGATCGAGGGTGAAATCATTGCGCTAAACAAAGAATACGGTATCATATCATATCATATAAAAACAACAATGCCCTAGCCCGATGGTGCTTGAAGCTGAAGTTCTCATGCAAGGCTCGATCGCCACTAGCCCATTGGTAGCTCTAGCGATACTCTCGCTGCTGCCTTTCTCTCTTCGTGGGCACCCGGTTCTGCTGGAACTTCCAGCGCCCCAGAAACACCTTGATGGGTTGGCTTCTATTCACATAGGGGGGGAGGCTACCAAATGTATGCCAGGGAGATGACCGGATCTGAACCATAGAACAGTAGAGTAGCAGACCCTAATTATACCACATCCCGGCTCCACAAAAAAACAATTTGATCCATTGCAGATGTCACAGCCCGCGTAGGAGATTCTTGTCCTTGTACTAGGCACTGTAGAGCTGTTGCAGTCAGTTTGAATTACTACCAACATTGACCGTACCTTCACTAGCCGCCCCTCCAACATAGGTCAACCACCCTATCGAGCAACCCACGATACAAGCAGAGTAGCGAGAAAACAACTGCAATTATTTCATTGATTTTCTACTCTATGCACAGGGAACCTATGAGATAATTAAATTGTGTAACTAACACGAGCTGAGAATAGGGCAGGTGAACAAATAAAGTAAATGTTAAGTACCAATTTCCAGGGAAAAGAAATTGCAACAAACCTATCAAATTCAAACATACCAACCAGATTCCCAGCAGAATCCCTCCATAGCAGAACTCCAATACGAGTGTTCTATATAACACAAGGAAGTACATCTGTACCTCCCCACAAACTTTAACGAGTGACAATCTATGATATCAATCCTAGACTCTTGGTGAATTTCAATAACCCCCACCAAGTCCCCTCCCAAGTACTTCATTAAGCTCACCCCTAACCCTTTCAAACCCCCATTGCCAGTCGTCAAATGAATCCCTTACAAGGGTAATTCTCCATGCACATTTCCCAATTGCAATAATAGTCCCCTGGTAGACCCTATTGGGGGCAATCAACCTACACGCCATCTCTTCAATCCTGCCCACGCCCCCATTGAAAATATGGAGTTTTTGAATACGATGCAAAGAAGGAACGTAGAGGAGAAAGTGTTTCCAGGCCCCCTCTGGGACCCAGAGCCCGAGATGCATGAGACGATTACCGTGATGGAGCAGATAGGCTATCTGGTGTGGAGAAAGATGCCATTGTGGCTTTAGGGTTAACTTCTTGAGGTTATGGAGGGTAGGGTAATGTTCGAGGAAAAGGTTTTTTGTGCGGTCCACTGCGGGCGAAGGCGAACCTTCGCTTCTGATTGTTGTAAAGTGGAGCTCTTTTGTAGTTTTATCAGTAGACTCCATTGCTAGGTCAATGAATGCCCAGCCAGTGGCACGGAAGTACTCAAGACCAGTCCATTTAGGACCAATCTTAGACCCCATGCGCATGCAGCCAATAAGAGATAGACTCTTGACATTTTTTATTATAGCAGCATCGACTATAAACCCCGACAAAGTCAATGTATGGACGCACGAGGTACGGCCTTTCCAAATAGGTGGCATCTTTGGAGCGAATGTCCCTGTTGGCGAGACCAGCCAACCTTCCTCATCAAAATCATTTGGATATCTGGTCCTGCTAATGACTGGTAGTTCAACTTGAAGGACACGAAGGGTGGTAAGTTCCCCGATCAGTTTCCACAGCCCCATGTACCACGGTCCACCTCTCGTCGGAAGGTTGGTGAGCCTTAGGTGGAATAGAGAGAGTTCAGAAAACAGAGAAATCTTTGGCCTGTATTTCCTAAGGAGAGATTTCTCCACAACCCTCCAGTCATCAACATTCCTCTGTATCCTAATGGGTTGGGCAATGTTTATTTCTACTCTCCTTATGGTACTCACCGCCGCAATGGTAGCTATAAGCCCTCTTCGCAATGGAATGGCTGTGTCAAGAATAAATGTTTCCAAACCCAAAGCATAGTTCAAAAAAGTAGCCAGCAAACGATTCACCTCTTTGATCCCACCATCCTCTTCGATGCTTTCCGCCTTTATCAACTCAATAACCGTTTCCGAATTGAGCATCCGCTCTCCACTCGAATCACGAATATCGTCGGTTGTAAGGGGCACTGCTCCGTCACAGAGCTTAATAGAGTTTTCCTCCCAGCCAGTGCCAATTCTAAAGTGTTTCACATATCGGCTAAGTTTAATGCGATTTCCCGGTTCAGTCAGAGAATCCAATAGTTCAGAAAGGTAGGCATAGGAGAACCCGTGGGGTTGGTTAGTGCAAAGATTGATTTCTGCATACAGATGCGGATCAATCGCCTTCTGGAGTGATTTTGAGCAACGGGATAGGCGCGACAAATCCCACGGTTCCATCTATTTTGTATCAGCGCTCCTGAAATCCAAAAAAATTGAGAGGTTAATTGTGACTTACAACAGTAGAAAGATTCTTCCACACTCTCTCTGGAAAATCGATGAGAGCGACCCCAGGAGGATGGCCATGGTGGAAATGCATCCTTGCATTAGCTTCCAGTTGGCCATTAACACTATGGACTTTGGCCTCCGGTATGTCTCCCTGTAGGCAGTACCGGATATTTAAATCATCCCCAGTTTGGGGTTCCTGGATCACCTCTTTGTCCGTGATAGACATAGGTATGGTGCTTGGTGAGCTCTTGTACGTGTCGCATTTCTGGTGAGTCCTGTCCCCGGGATACATGGTCTCCCCATAGAGCTCCATTAACGAGCCTGAACAGAAATGTAATTCGGGAAGGTAAGGGGCCCCAGAGGGTGCTTTAAAATCTTGCCGTGAGGTCTCTGTTGCTGATGTTCCAGACTCAGAGAATGGTAGACAGGAAGGATGGGTGGGTGGAGAGGGTATTTGTACTGATTGTGAGAAGTGCGGAGTACTTTGTTTACGCCCAAGGTGGGAGAGAGCCTTAGAAACTGCGGAAGACAATATTTGAGAATGGCGTGAAGCCACCGAACAGGCAAAGCCCTGGATGGAGCTCCGAGGATTTTTCATTGGAAAAGGATCAAAAAAGGGTTGAGGTGCAACAGATTTTTGACTTGTTAGCGGCAAGAGGATGGAAGGTTTGGTTAAGGCCATATCTTCCATTTCGAACTGAAATGGAAAAACTTTTTGTGTTGCAATGTGAGGAGCAAGGTGTAGTATGATAAGCTGTTAAGGAGCAGGTTTGGTGGCTCCCCTGGCCCTACGAGCGCGTAAACAAACACTATAATAGTATAGACTACTGTTGTATTTTACAATGTCATAATATTATTATTATGTCTTTAAAGAAGCCTCGGAACAAGAAAACAGAGACACGAGAAGTCAGAATCCTGCTCCCATATTCACTTCCTGGTTAGAACTTTCTATGAAAGCAAATATATGCTGCAGGGGTGGCGGAGCCTGCACTGGAGCCCCTCATTAACTATAGTCTGCCGTGCGATTAAATATAGTGAAGTTTTTTTTGTCCTTTGTTTTTTTATAAATATCCTCGGGTTCCTAGATCGACACCCCATAGACCTCTTCATACTAATAGCACAAGTCAACATACCTAAGTATATCTGATAGTTTTAGCATTAATGAATGATACCTTTCCCCTCAAGCAAGAGCAGATTGTATAGGTGATACCGAAAACCTAGGTCTAACTGATGCTCACGGTCACCAAAAACTACTTGAGGAGGTATGATAGCAAAAGCATAAGTTTCATATTTTAAAGTGCTTGAAGAAATCAACCTCTTGTCCCTCCAGCCGCGCCGAGCCATGATATTCTAAACTCATGTCAGTTATTTTCACCGCTCCACAAACACAACTTATCGTCCATGTCCCTAGGCTTCAGTCAAATCTTCACCCTGTTTCAAACCCTCCCTTCCTGTGGGTCTCCCCCATTTCTCTAAGTTGGCCAACTCCTTTACTTCATGCACAGAAATCAATTCGGTCAGGTTTTCGTCGGACATCGCCATCACCGCTAGGCAGTCCACAAATGCTGCTGCCCACTTTCCTGGCTGATCTCCACTCTCCATGAGCTTTTCCGCTCTCTCTGCAGCAATGTTATACATTCCGATAGCACTAATAACTGGCCCAATCAAGCTTTCATCAACTGGAGCTGCGGCACAAAAAGCTGCAATAACCGATCCCAGAGCGCACCCAACCTAGCATTGAAAATTAGACATACAGATCAAACCAAGTAGGGGCAGATAAAAACATACTCCGGTAACACGAGACTGGTATGCAGATCCATTGGTAAGACAGAAAGTGCGAGCGCCATTGGATATATAGTCCTTCGGCCCGGTCATGAGGACGATATTATCTAAGACCTCATGTCAGAATGCCTCAATACTATTAAACACCAATACCATACTTTCCAAACTAGCCAAATCGTGAACAACTTTGGCAAGCTCTTCTTCACTTCCTCCCTCTCCAGCTCCATCGACACCTCTCATTTTTGCTGTTTCTAGCCCAGCCAAAGATCTGATTTCGCCCTCATTTCCCTTAATGACAGTACAGTAGCCCGCCCCCACAATCATTTGGGCAAACTCCCGGCGGGCATTGGTAGCGCCTGCACCCACCGGATCAAATATTACGGGATTCCCACGAACATTGTGTTCCCTCAGGGCCCCTAGAAAGAGGTCTTGGGACTCCTTAGAACTGGCAAAGGTGCCCATATTAAGCACACAACCCACATTTGGCAAGGCGGCGAGATCGGCAAACTCGGCGGGATTCTCCGACATGATCGGAGAGGCACCAATAGCCAGAGATATATTCGCTGAGATAGATTTCACGACATTGTTTGTGATGTGATGAACCAATGGCTTGTGTTTGTGGATGTTGTCCCTATATATCGGGAAATCTTCTGTTCGGAGAGAATAATCCGTGGGCACAAATAGGGGAGGCCAGTTTACGGTTTCATGGAGTAAATTGCAAGCTCCCACGGGCAGCGGTGAAGCCATAATAGCAGAAACAACAGCCACCCCATCGAGCCGTCTTCCAGAAATATCTTTGGATTGGAATAACACGCGCTGGACGTTACCGTGGTTTATCCCGCCAATTGCTACAGCCTGCATCGTAATGGGTATGGCAGAAAGTAATGAGCGGACACCCGATGTACCCAGCGGGGGGTTGTGGTCAGGTTTGGTAGGGGTTGAGAAAACCGGCCCAATCCCAAGATATGTCGGATCCAGCCCCAGAGCTTTCTCAAGCTGCTCATGGTTGGATACCGAGAGGCCGATGATCTTTTCCGGACCTAATAACTTTCGAGCTGTAGGAACATCTGCTCGCTGTTGGTGTGCTGCAAGCCAAGTGGAGCTTAGGAATAGAGATAGGAGAATTGATACCTATATCATCCCACCCCAAGTGAACTCCTTCACATCCAACAGCCAATGCAACATCTACACGATCGTTGATAAGCAGGGGCACCCCATTCTTAGAGGTGAGAGCATAAATATCGCGAGCAAGCTCAATAAATTTAGCGGTGGAGAGGTGTTTCTCGCGTAATTGAACAATAGTCGGTGGGTGCTTGGCTGATAGACATGCTTCTACCTGAGAATAAACAGTCGAATTGAAAGGCAGGTTCACGGAATCTGTCACCAGATATAATTCGAGGTTTGGTCGGGGCGGCGGCATCTTGAAATTCTGTAAAGCCAAAAAAGGAGAGGCTTTTAAGATGAGTTCGAGATGAACTTCGGTTACACTCGCGAGGAGGGGTAGTGATGTCACAACGTGGGGAAGGGTTGTCCGTCACACAAGCAAAGGATGGAAAACCGGACAAAATAGCGATATCATATTAGTCTAACTTATATACTCAAACCCCTTCCCTTACTTCTCTAGGAGTACGACGAGTACTGACCACGGGACCCTTTGAACGAAATTCATTGAGTCAGAATCTCCTACTTAACAGATAAAAAGGAGGACTTATTTGAAATGTCTCAACACTCATTCCTTCCCTGTCTTTCCCAGGACCCTGGCAAGTAAGGTAGAGCGCGATCATCTATATACACCGCTCTGCCCAACTGACCTCCATTAATTGCTCTCATCGTCCATCGAATTTTTCCAGTATGCGCCCCCTCGACCCCACTATTTCACGAACCCTATGAGAACCCCTCCCGTTCCCTCCCTCAACACATTCGAGTTTTATTGACTCAAATGTTACAGGTTTGGTACTACTTCGGCTCTTTCAACATGGCCGACACCAAGAGAACCATCCCCAGAGTTCTCACGGTTGCCGGCTCCGATTCCTCCGGTGGGGCCGGAATCGAGGCAGACCTCAAGGTAATCACAGCAAACGGTTGCTATGGCATGACAGCCATCACTGCTCTCACTGCACAAAATACCCTGGGGGTTGACAGTATTCACTATATCCCAGGGTCTTTCCTTCGCGGTTGCTTAGAGGCCGTGCTTTCTGATATCGGGGCAGATGTGGTTAAAACTGGTTACCATCCCTATTTCCTTAGAATCGACCGGGCCTAACATTCGTATCCTCGGAGCAGGTATGCTAGGCAGTGAGGAGAACGTTTTCGTGGTCGCGGAGACCCTACAAAAATATGGCATCACTAAAACTGTCATCGATCCGGTAATGGTATCTACCACTGGATCTAAGCTTCTGCCCGAGGGCGCTGTGAATGCGGTACGGGAAAAACTTTTCCCATTGGCTTTAATTCTTACTCCCAACATTCCGGAAGCTATACAATTTCTACCAGGACATCAACCGTTAGACTCCCTTGATAGACTCATTTCTGCTGCAAAGGTTCTCGGAGGGATGGGACCCAAAAACATCTTACTTAAGGGTGGGCATTTGCCGTTTCGTAGGTCGGAAGGAGGTTATGTGCCCGCGGGAAAGGAAGAAGAAAAAGAGACCATGATTGATGTCTTTTGGGATGGGAATGATCTTGCATTGGTTGAGAGTCCGTACGTGAACACTAGGAACACCCATGGTACCGGGTGTTCTTTAGCTTGTAAATCCCCTCTCCCCATTACCCGCATAATTATTAAGCGAAACTGTAGCGGCAATTGCATCAAACCTCGCTCGTGGAATGGAGGTTCCCGAAGCAGTCCGGGCAGGTTGCAACTACGTCTCTGCCGGGATATCCTCGGCGTTGATGCTCGGAAGAGGGCATGGGCCTATCAACCATTTGCACAGCAACTACATCATGCCTTTCTCTCCGTTCGTCTCTCTTCCCACATCCCAATCCAATACTAATTGGCCATAGTGGGCGCTTCGTTGACTACCTTTTGAACCATCCCTCAGTGAAACCAATATGGCATGCATATACTCACCATCCGTTTACAACCCAATTAGGGGCTGGCACTCTTCGAAGAAAGTCATTTCAGAATTACATTGTCCAAGACTACCTCTTTCTGGTTGCCTCTCCACCCACACAAGAGATTTCAGTCCTATTGACCTTAGGCAGATCCAATTTGCTCGGGCAAACTCTCTTGCAGGCTACAAATCGACATCAACTGCGGCAATTTCGAAGACCGCATCCATTATACAATACGTGGTAGCCGAGACCGTCCTTCACCTCGACTACTGCTCCCGCTTTGGCTTAACCCAAACCCAGGTCGAGGAGACGGAGGAATCACTAGCATGTACAGCATACACCCGCTTTGTGTTGGATATCGGAATGAGTCAGGACTTGTTCGCACTTCAAGTTGCGATGGCGCCCTGTTTGCTTGGCTACCAAGAGGTTGCCCTCAGGTTAGCAAAAGAAGGCAAGAAAGATGACAATATATACTGGGAGTGGGTAGAGAACTATTCCGGAAAAGGTTATGGCGAGGCGGTGATCAAGAGTCGTGAGTTGTTGGAGGCCTCCGCGCAGGATATCGGAGTAAAGAAAATTGGTGAGCTGGTAGCGATCTTCGCAAAGGCTACCAAGGTAAGCTCTTCCCCACATCATCGAGGAGAGACTAACAAGGCGGGGCCTAGATGGAGAGGAACTTTTGGGAAGCGGGACTTGAGTGCAGTTAGAGATAATCTAGATAAAATTGATGACATCTCAAGAGTGGGGGCTGTCCTGGTTTCAAATTACACATCACTGATTATCACTCGCAATTGATAGCCGAGCGACGCGAAGTGCACAAACCCAGAAGAGGGATTTGTGCGAAAAAAATTGTCTAAAAAGTCCCGCAATAGCGCAGAGAAATAGTAAGGTAGCGGCTTGCACCTACAGTGCCGGTATGTGATGTGAATAAGAATTTCTATAAGAGCCCCTACCCTCATCGACACCGCTCGGCCCCGATCGGGTATCGCCCTCGATAACAGCAGGCTTTGCGAAGGTAAATAATTATGATACTACTGTAGATAGAAAGTCAGAGACCGGAAGGTTACAACTGTCTGAAAAGCCATCAGAATTCCAGGGCGCTGCGCCCTCTCCCATTTCATGCACCTGTACGAGTAGAATAAATAGTCGTGGTACAGTACTCGTAAGCTTCTGACATTTGTGAGCGGAACTGCTACCGCATTCCACCAAAATCCTGAGGCTCCGGGTGATCACTTTTGGCCAGGGTATGACAGCAGTTGCGTTGACAAACGTCAGAAAAATTGCGAGTATCATAGAAGGTATGGGTGCCAAGCGCTCGAAATCAGCTCCCAAACCGCCCCTCCCATCAAAAAAAAACCAAGAACGAACACGCCCCAGGAACAACTATAGAGATGTTCAGAATGGACTCCCCTCCAATTCTATACTCTTTTTTTTTTCTTCTTTTTTTTGATAGAGTGCATTTGGCCGAGAATGATAAGGGTGGATATTTTTGGGCGTGTGAACACACGTATAATATGATACAATTGTGCGCCAAGGCTCTAATTTTGTAAATATTACTAAGCAAACCGAGGCTCTGTTTTTGGGTAGGATATGATACGATACGAATAACCAGCCTCCCCGGCCACCCGGATAAATCCCCACCCTCACCGGACAGCTAAACCGAATCAAGGAACATTCCAGCGGTTTTTCGGTCAGGTGAAACCCACCAAGGAGCATCCGTCTAATCCGTCCGGGGTGGGTGTGCGCCCGGGTTGGAACTGTGAGGTTGACTACCGTAGACTATCAGATGGATCTGACTGAAGAAGGGGTGTGTGCGGCACATGAGCAGTTTCCAGAGGTACTTGTAATCAGTGTGATGACATCCTCCCAAGTTCTTGATTAGATGTAATAAGTGACGCCAAGTGATGGGACTGCTGAGCTGTGCTAAGTGGAAACAACTGGTGTTCGGGATTGAATGATAAGGAATCAAGATATCTTGTTCAAGTTACAAATAGTCCAAGTAGAAACGAGATCTGGTTATGGTCGTGCTACTGAATTGTAAATATTATCGAATATCTCTTCGTTTATCATACTCAGGCTCGGATATGCTATTTTTCGTATTCTTCAATTTTTCCCAATACCATGTACTGTCGTTTGAAATCAATCAACTAAATTTAAAGGCTGTGTTGAATACTAAAAGTGTTTGATAGAAAAGTATGATAACGGAAGAAAGCTACCAGTGGTAGTACCTCTTTTCCTCTCATTCTCCTTTCATGCAGAAGGTATTGCATACAAACATAAGGGTATATATTATCTATGAATAACACCGCAACTAATATCCATATATCAATCTCCGACCCCTCAGGGGTGGAGAAGTGACAACCAAAGTGTAAACGATAACACCGTATATTAGTGAGTGATTCCACGCACAGGTCTCAGGGGAGATATTTTGGCGCAAGACTCGGATTTTGCTAGCCAAACTGAATTGGCCGTCAGGTCCCCCAATGGGGCCGTGACGAATCTCAGGTCTCGAGGAACGGGTGTGCATTACGTATCTGGCGGGCAAAAACCTGTCAAAGCAGGGTAACCAAAAAATACTTGTTCCTAATCCCTGTTCGCCAGCATTATGAGAAATTTGTCGCAGCCCTGTTGGAGACTGTACGAGTACGAGTACTCGAGTACCGTACTTGTAACAACCCCCCGAAGCTGTAGTTGTACAACCACTGAGGGCACCGCCAAAGAGCCTCTAGTTCAGCTCCGAATATGAAAGAACAGCTGCTCAGGTTCTGGGGGGAAAGTTCTACTTGCCAATCCATTGGGCGTTGGGGCCCTTTCTCATGATTGATCCCCGTCTTGGCGCTAATGTGTTCCAGATATGGTACAGTACCTTGTCGTACCGTACAGTACAATGCTCGGCTAAATGCCTGGTTCGCGCTGGGGTGCCCGCCAATCGTGTGAAAGAAGTGGTGATTTGGGGGTCATGCATTCTGCGTGGCTTAGCCGCCTCAGCTCAAATCCGAACGGTAATACCCGATAATTCTGCCTACTATAACTCGTACTCGTACTCGAGCGCTGTATGTGCAAGCACTCTCACCCGAATACTTGTGGCGCTCCGTCCTCTACTTGTAATCTGTTAACTCACGTCTTCCTCACGTGTCTTTTGCCAAGAAGCGCCACCAAATATCCATGCTGGCCGGGCCTTCTTGACAAAGAGGCGCGAGTAGAATCGCCGACAGTTATCAAAAGGGGTTTTCTTGAGCAATGCCTTAGGAACAAAATTCGCCCATTTGACAAACTGAAGGAGTAATCGATGATACCTGAGACCTTTTTCTCCTGCTTCAATCAATCCCTGCCATGCACCCTCCATTGGTTTGTACGCGATCACAGCTA